GCTCTGGGGTTGACCAGTCCCAGCAGAGGAAGAGGCCAAGGCGGCCGTGGAGGCCCAGCCGCGGAGGCCCAGCCGCAGAGGCTGCTGGGCACCAGTGTGTGTCGGGGGACACAGTCTGGCCACACGGGGGGGGGGAGGGGGGTGAGCGTGCGGGCTGCTCCTGCCCGGGCTGGGCCGCACCGCACCGCACAGTCACAGGGGTGATTGCTGGAGAGCGCACGCGATCCGCACAGGAGAGCGCACGCGATCCGTGATTGCTGGAGAGCGCACGTGATCCGCACAGGAGAGCGCACGCGATCCGCACAGGAGAGCACAGGCAATCCGTGATTGCTGGAGAGCGCACGCGATCCGCACAGGAGAGCGCACGCGATCCGCACAGAAGGCTGGAGCAGTGGTCTCCAGGCCTGGTCTGGCGCGATCCGCACAGGAGGCTGGAGCAGCGGTCTCCAGGCCTGGTCTGGCGCGATCCGCACAGGAGGCTGGAGCAGCGGTCGGTCTCCAGGCCTGGTCTGGCGCAATCTGCACAGGAGGCTGGGGCAGCGGTCGGTCTCCAGGCCTGGTCTGGGAAGCGCCTGAGCGGCCTCTCTGACTTTCACCTGCTAACATGTCTCATAAGCTGGTTGAGCTTCGTGAGGTCCACTCTGGGGGTGCGTGCGTGATTACGTATCTAATTAATTAGCACCCATTTGTATGAATTACCATCGCATTTCCAAATGTTTTCATATTTATGACCTCATTTAATCCGCTTTTACAATCTCACAGACCTATGAGCTACGAAGGGTGAATATTTTTGTCCCACTTGATCTATAGGAAGCCCAGGCAAATGGAGATTAAGCTAATGGCAGAGTGAGGGTCTCCTGACTCTCATTTCCGGGTCCCTCCACTAAATTAAACTGGATTAGTCTTTTGGGATGAGTGTGAAAGGGTATACGACTGGATTCTTTGCGGGGGGAAAAACCCTGATAAATTATATTAAATTACTACAGGAGTAGATAAAAAGCAGATTTCTATTTCCCATGCTGTGAATTTGCCTTTGAGCCCCACTGTGAAGTGGGCTAGAATGTTCTGGCAGTACACAAGCCCGGAAAAGGTACATCTCATACTCTTCTAAATGGATAATTTCTCCCGGGACTTCTTTACATTCTGAAATTTTACTTTATTATTGCATCCTAAGGTTTGTGGCTCCAAATGCCACAGCGCAGGAGTCTGACTTTCATTGGTGATATTTGTGGTTATCACTTTCCTTTGTCATCCCCTTCCACTCCCTTTGTTTTGCTCTGTAGACACGGTTTGATTTATGAATGAGGGCTTTTTGATTCTTTGAGATATATTTTGGAGAATTGGTTCAATAACGTGTTATTGAAAAGCGAAATCCATTGGGGACAGATCTTCCTCTACAAAGAAATTTCTCATCAAGACCAGCTGTTTATTCATCTGTCACGCCACATTTTTGTATTTTATGTGGACGTATCCACATGCTTCGTTTGTTAAATATGTCCATGAAGCTGTTCACTCCCACGGCCAGCGTGGAGACTTCTGTGGTCTGGAGCTGAAGTGGTCTTATTCCAGCGCCTAGGAGGAGGAAGGCCTGTGGGAGGGAATCCGTGGGATGAGAACGGAGTCTCGCGTGTGGATGCTCCTCTTGGGCACAACTCTGAAGGGCTCCACGCCTCTTCACCACTGAGCACTGTAGTGAGACTTGGAGTTGTACCCTTGACTTCAAGAGCTGTCTGGGAGCCAGCTTCCCCTCCCACCACCGCACAGGCCAGACGCTGGTTGTGCGCAGTCTTGGCTTTTTGCTAACCTGGGTGGTTTCTCTGAGTTCGTTTGCGTGCCTCCGGGTGTGATGTCCCGCACAAACACTGGCCTTGATCCTGAAGTGCTCATTTGTCATTACCTGTCTTCTTGTTCTCTCACAGCTGAGTCAGAAATACACATTTGCCTGATCTTTCTTGGCACCAACGTGGGAGATTCAACGAGACAGAGGGAGAGTTTGCTGTTCATTCTGCGTGTTCAATCATCACGTCCAGTTGGACTCTTTCCTTCCAGGTGGCACACACAGCGGTGGATGTCCTCAACGATCATGGAGACAGCGGTGCATGTCCTCAAAGATCATGGAGACAGCGGTGCATGTCCTCAAAGATCATGGAGACATGGGTGCAAGTCCTCAAAGATCATGGAGACATGGGTGCAAGTCCTCAAGGAGCAAAGAGACAGCGGTGCATGTCCTCAAAGATGCTGGAGACACTGGATGAACCTGCAGCTATTCACTTACTTTCTATGTTTTACTACCTTTTTCCATTTTTCCCCTGAGGAATTTCTTTTGTCTTAATTTCTAGAAATACACATTATAAGTAATAAGACCGATGGCCAGGGCTGGCAGCAGCGAGTCCAACTCTGGGAACCACAGACCTGAAGAAATCAGTCTGAAGGTCCGTCTCTGGAGTTGTGAGGGTGCTTTTCAGCACCCTCCTCGCTGTTGGCAGCACTTTGCCTGACCCCTCGATTTTCTTCAGCCAGAGGCACCTTCCTGCACACACAGCCGCCCGAGGGTATCTGAAAGGACGGCCATCTGCTCTTAGCAGGTGACTGGCAACGTCACAATGGTGTGTTCTCCTGGGAGATTCCCAGACGGAGAATCTGAGAGTTCACGATTGGGCGTGTGCACATTCTACTCCTTCTGAACAATTAGACTTTCTCTTGAGCTCATTGATGCGATTCACTTGTGTTCAGCTCATTGGCTCAGGAGAATAGTGGAACAGTGTGTCCCTGGTCCAAACCCTTCTTGATGATCGTTACTACTCAGGCTTGCATTTCAGGGGCCAAAAACTCACACCGCGGGTGTTTCCTGTGAGTTCAATCCTCTCTCGCTTTTCTCTTGCCACACAGGCATATCTTTATGAGGTGTGGGCCGGTGCTGAACTTAATGTCTTTCAGCTCAAATACACCGTGAGCTGACGTACACCTACATTCTCTGCAAAAAGTATTAAAACAAACCTGTTGAAAATTGCATGTAATAGTATATGTATACAACTAAAAGGCAGGTGAAGCACGGTCATTTTTTCTTTCTGTGACACATGAATTACAGTGATCACGTTCTCTGTATGTGGGAGGTCACATCTCCTCCTCTTGGAACCCACCCATTCTCATTAAAAAACATCTTGTTAACCATCAGGTGATGGAATCTGGAGACACTGAGCTGTGAGAAGAGCGACTCAGGGCACGGGCCTAAGGCTCCAGAAGCACGGCGTGTGTCGGGTGGGGGTGGGGGCAGCCACAGTTCCCACGCAAGCCCGTGGCTGAGCCGGACGCGGTGCCGCGCTTTGCACAGGGCCTGGCCCAGAAGCCCGGGGAGGGAGCGGCGCGGCCCGGCCCAGTGTGTCAGGTGATCGAAGCAGGCAGCCGCCGTTCCCCCAGCACTCAGGGGTCAGGACGCACCCACCCCAGCTCACAGGAGCGGCTACGCCAGACTTTCCAGACGGAAGGATCCGGAAGGGAGCAGAGCAAGTCCACCAGAGCCAAGTCCCTGTGCCGGGGAGGTACAACTGCCTGTCAGCAGACGTCCCCCTCCCCACGGGAGCACGGGGATGGGGACTCCTCCCTCCCCACGGGAGCACGGGGATGGGGACTCCTCCCTCCCCACGGGAGCACGGGGATGGGGACTCCTCCCTCCCCACGGGAGCATGGGGATGGGGACTCCTCCCTCCCCACGGGAGCACGGGGATGGGGACTCCTCCCTCCCTCCCTCCCCACGGGAGCATGAAGATGGGGACTCCTCCTTCCCCACGGGAGCACGGGGATGGGGACTCCTCCCTCCTCACGGGAGCACGGGGATGGGGACTCCTCCCTCCCCACGGGAGCACAGGGATGGGGACTCCTCCCTCCCCACGGGAGCACGGGGATGGGGACTCCTCCCTCCTCACGGGAGCACGGGGATGGGAGCCCTTTGGGGAAGGACTCCAGGACTGTCACGGGTATTTTGTATCAGAGAGACTGGAAGGACAGATGGATGCAGGACGCCCTGCCCTTCGGCTCCGCCCACGGCAAGCGTAAGCACAGAGGGACCCAGGAAGTGACCAGAAGCCGCTTCATAGCCACAGTCTCGTCCGACTCCGGGAATTATGGGAACGCTCGGGGCATTTGCAAGGATGTGCATGTCATCCTCAGACCAAAGCGGCTGGATGGGTGTGCGGGAGGACTCTGCTCATTATGTCTGAGGAACAGGAGATTTATGTGATTTATGTGGATCACTGATCCACTGCCTTATATTCGCTTACATTTGATTTTCAATGATGTGACTTATTGGAATTTAGGGACCATTCTGTGGTATTAAATATACTCATCATTAAAAACTCCTCTTGGCCGGGCGCCGGTGGCTCACGCCTGTCCTAGCTTCTCAGGAGGCTGAGATCTGAGGATCACGGTTCAAAGCCAGCCCATGCAGGACCGTCTGTGAGACTCTTACAATACACTAACCCCTCCCCCCACAGTCTCAAAAACACAAAAACAAAAACAAAGGTGGAAGTGTGCCATGGCTCAAGTGGTAGAGCGCTACCCTCGAGCAGAACAGGCTCAGGCCCTGAGGTCAAGCCCCAGGACTGGCAACAAAGAAAAAAAAATACATGTGTTAGAGCAGCGAGTACAAATAAATTGACTTGAGTCACATTTCATTTTAATTAAAAACAAATACTATAAAATGCTGGTCCCTAAATCGGCAACCAGGTATTTCCTAAGCCATCTTCCATAAGAGGCAGAGATTTAGTGAGTGACCCCTGATACCGAGGGGTGAGGGCTCCTTCCCTCCCCAGGCTCCTCCGGTGGTAAACACAGACAGGCAGCCACGGTGAGCAGCTCCGGGTGCCCCTGGACTTCCTTCACGGAGTTCAGTGAGGTTTCTGTTGCAAGGCCCTGTCGTGCTGGGCTCACATCGGCGGCCCTAGAGTAGCTGGACCTCACGGTACCCTCCTGAACGCCCGTGACAGGTAAAAAGCTGCACGATCTCAAAAATACATGTAGTACGCCCAGTAAAACACATTGGCCAGCATAAAAATCAAAGGGAATAGGAGCTTCGAATAGCGATCCACGTTGCTGGGGTTCCGAATGGTGAAGCAATCTGCAATCCTGCCGACTTTCTCCCGGAAGATGACCTTGAACTTGTCGCTGGCCTTCATGGTCAGGTCGCTGTAGTCGATGTTGTCACCAGAAATCTCGATGCTGGCAAAGCTGATCTTCCCCTTGAAGCTGGAGATGGAGCTGTTGATGATGTTGGTGATGTTGACTTCCTCCACCTCCTTCTCCGCCCCCTGCGTCACAGACAGCAAAGTTAGCTTGGAAGGAAGCCAAGAATGAGGAGAGGTGTAGAACCCTAGCTACCCAACGATGAGGCTGGATCGAGCACGGGTTTGAGCACCGGCAGGAATGGCTGCTCTCCCGTGGCTCCAGGGAGCCCCCATTCTCCAGTGGCCAGGCCAAACGGGAGTGTAATCCAATTGGAAAAGGTGTGGCTGGATATTTTGGCCGGCCGTGTACTCTCTGGGCGTCGGGTCTGGGATGCGTCAACCGGCCTCGTTGAGTGGTAGATCTCTCAACCCTGAAATAAGGATAACCACGGTGCTCTTTGGCTTGGGCTGTTGGATGGACTGGGGGCTGGAGTTGGCGGAGGTCTGGGCCACCGCAGGCCTTCCCGGGGGCCCCTGCAGATGAAGGGCATTCTGCTCCCGCGGTTCGACTCCTACACGTTCTCCAACCCCTTTCCCTGATCTAGCAAACCTAGAGTTTGGGGGGAGGCCTATAATCGAACCTCCTTTCCCTTCTGAGAGCCAACAGGGAGTAGAACAAGCAAATTTACACTCTTCTTAGTCTGGCTGCTCTGGTTAGAGTCCCGGGCATTTCCTGAGGTAGGTGCCTGTCACCGTCTTGTCTGCAAGCCTAGGCTTCCATACGCCAGTGTCTACCCAGCATGGCTTCCCAGGACTGCAGGGTTCCACGTGGCCGTAAAGGCTGCGTCAGCCGTGTGAGCCGAGCCGAGGCTCGGAGGTGGCAGGATTCCAGGCCACACAGCCACGGCTAAGTCTCAGCTGCCCTTGCTCTGTCTGTGTCTCTGGGTCGGCCACTACCCTGCTTAGTCTTCAGATTCCACAACTGTGGAAATGGAGCTGGCTCTCACGGGACTGTTACACGCGTCTGAAATGGCATAATGTCGCAGAAGGCTCTACTGCGTCTGGCTCACAAACACGCTCAATAACTTATCATCATCGTCTTTATTATTCATCAGAGACTGGGCCTCGGCCTTTCACGCTAAATAAAATGACTGCTTCTCTGTGAATCTCCTGATGAGCAGGAAAAATGTGCTAATCAAGAAAATTCTTATGATTTAATGTCTTCCTGTCCTTTGTAAATGAGTAGTTATATAATTCAAGCGCACAAGGATGTATCAGAAGAATTAAATAGTAATTAAAATATTAACCTGAAATTTGCAAACCACTGATCACATTTGGTTTGATATTGGAGTTTTCTACCGATGCTGGTTCTTGCAGTCATAATGTTGTATTGCATATGCAAAACAATTACTTTCTGCCAAGGAATTGAATGTGTTGGTATCTCATTGTACATGGAGAAGAGAAACCTCCCTGCCTCTCTCCTCCTCCTCCTCCTCCTCCTCCTCCTCCTCCTCCTTTTTGTACCATGGGTTTGAACTCAAGGCCTGGGTACTATCCTGGAGCTTTTTCACTCAAGGCTAGCACTCTACCCCTTGAGCCATAGCTCCACTTCTGTCTTGTTTGCTGGTTAACCTGGGGGTAAGAGTCTCACAGACTTTTCTGCCAGTCTGACTTTGAACTGCGTTTCTCAGACCTCAGCCACAGGAGCAGCTGGGGTGCCCATGAGCCCCCGGTTCTCAGCTGAGAACCCTTTCTAAAGGGCCCAAGGGCCCACGGCGGACACTGGCTCTGGGTCGAGACTCACGAGCAAGTGAGCCAGCAGGCAAGCAGCCCGGCTCACGTCCGGACAGCGTGCGGAGCGGTGATGGATCGCAGACAGCAAGCCCTCACCCTGTCTTTGGCTGCCACCTGCTGTAAGGAGCTGTAGTGCGCAACGGCATACTCCACCAGGGCTCCGAACACGAAGCTGAAGCAGATGCCCAGGTACACGTCGATGGCCTTGATGAAGCAGTTGGTGTTGGGCAGGGACGTGCGGGAGCCGATCATCAGCGTGGTCATGGACAGCACTGTGGTCACCCCTGGGAAAAGAGGGGGCGCGTTGGTGCCGGAGCCGGAGCCGGAGCCGCGAGCCCTCCCCGGGCTGGGCGCCCATCGGGACCCGTGGGTTGGGCACAGAACCCTTCTGGGGACGGGTGACTGATCTGTCTACGCTGCACGGACAGAGCACGCGGCTCTGCCCTCCCTGTGGGGGTGGCGACACAGAACATGATTGACAACTGACCCTCCAATCACATTCCCTGCATTTGTCACTGCAAGACAGAAACCTAACTATAAGAAAAAAAAATCCAGCACCTTCCCCAAAGTTGTCTTTCTCTGTCTCAGTCTCCTTCTCTCTCTCTCTCTCTCTCTCTGCAGAGGAGTTTCTCAAGAGATCAGTTCTTGATGGATAAGAACCACGGTGGAGTCGGGGGTGGGGAGTAACTGATCAAACTGGTTCTTAAAATCACCTATTGATCCAGGACATACAGGATATTCTTGGGGGAGGAACACAAGGGCCCAAGCCTACCTCTGATAATAGAAAATGATATTGACTGAGATGAACCCCAGGAAACAAACAAACAAACAAACAAAAAAGCCCATTGGACAGCTGGGAGGCGTGGCTCAGCGATAGAGCACCCATCCAGCAAGTACAAGGCTCTGAGTTCAAACCTCACTACTGACTGACCAAACACCCCCTTCCCCCCAAAAAAGAGCCCCCACAAAGACCCATTAGCTGCTTACCGATGCAGGTTCTTGCAGGAACAGAGTCGAGGGAGATCCAGAAGGAGACCCAGGACAGCACCACCAGGAAAGTGGAGGGGACGTAGGTTTCCAGGATGAAGTACAACACGTTTCTCCGCAGTTCAAACTGCAAGACCAGCCGCGTGTAATTTCCTGACGGGAGAGGAGAGACACGGAGTTGCATCTGAAGTGCTCGCTTCCCGGGGGCCAGGCTTCCCGGGGCGGGGGGGAGGTGGGTGAGCGCATCCGTTCCGTCTAAGCTCAGGGACCCAGGCGCTGTCTGTATGGTGTCACCCATGCCCTGGTGGCATGGAGTGGGATTTATGGTGGCACTGTTGTAAAAGGACAGTAACATTACCGGGAAAATGCACAATACATCAAATAAGAATGTGTACTTCCTGAGCCTATGGGACCCTAGAGATCATTTATTATTTTGCTTCCTGGTGGAGGGCTGAAGACACCGAGAGTTGTGGTGACAGTAAGGTCCCACGGTGGATGCTGGACAAACAGATCTTTTGCTCTGTGGTCCCAATACGTGCAGCTCGTCTACATGGTCTGTATCGCCCCTTGGTTTGGAAAGCCAACCTTAAAACAAAGACCAAAACAGCCCCATTTGGCTGCACGGTGGCCTAGTTATATATCTAAGGTGATTCCTAGATTTTCATGGAGAAAACTAAAGGCTTTCTTTCTCTCATGAATCCAAATTAAGAATTCAGATTGGAAACGATGGCGGCACAAGCCTAAACTAAAGACTTGTCTGCTCCTCCTTAAATAAGAGTTCATTCACGCACCCGTTCTAAAAGTAATGCCAACAGAGAGAGAAACTGCTTCCCGTTCCATTCCCTTCCCTCCGCACCAACCCGCCGTGCGTTTCCACGCATTTCCGTGCGTTTCCGTGCGTTTCCGCGCGTTTCCGTGCGTTTCCACGCGTTTCCGCGCGGGCTCAGCTATGACACATAGTGATCTTGTAGGGTGGAAACATGGGTGACCAGGAAGGAAGTGCGGCTGCTGGTGGGTGCGTCTGCCCCGCGTGGAGCCCGCGCCACGTCCCCCCATGGCCAGGGAGGGCTGCCGTGCCTTGGTCCCTGTCCCCGGGCTCTTCCGTTATTTGTGCTCTGTTTCCTTCCTCAGCAGCAAAGAGCAAGCCCTCCCCCCAAGGCACCAGCCCTCCCCCCGTCCCCCCCCCCTGAGGAAAGCCGGCCCCTTTCAGTCCCCCCCGCCCCTCCGGGACCCACGGCGAGCGGGAGTTACCGGTCTCCTGCTGGGACGTGGCGACCGAGGTGAAGTAGCGCTGCACCGTGTACTGGGCCAGCCGCAGGTTCTCCAGGCCGCGCACAGAATCGTTACCCCGGAGCCAGGTGAACTCCACGTCGCTCCCATCGTAGCCCCCTGAGAGAGGCGGGTGGGGTCAGAGCGTGGGCGTGGGGCGCAGGGTGCGGGTCAGACGTGGGCGTGGGTGTGGGTTATGGGGTGTGGGTCAGACGAGGGTGTGGGGTATAGGCGTGGGTGTGGGGCGTGGGGTGCGGGTCAGAGCGTGGGCGTGGGTTATGGGGTGTGGGTCAGACGAGGGTGTGGGGTGTGGGGTGCGGGTCAGACGTAGGTGTGGGTTATGGGGTGTGGGTCAGACATGGGTGTGGGGCATGGGGTGCAGGTCAGAGCGTGGGTGTGGGTATAGGCGTGGGTGTGGGTTATGGAGTGTGGGTCAGACATGGGTGTGGGTGTGGGGCGTGGGGTGTGGGTCAGACGAGGGTGTGGGTCAGACGAGGGTGTGGGTGTGGGGTGTGGGGTGTGGGTCAGACGTGGGTGTGGGTGTGGGGCGTGGGGTG